GATCCCCCCTGAGAAGCCTTTTTTTCTTAAGAAAACAAATGTAAGTTTTTTAGTTAGTATTTCCTCATAATTAGAATTGTGCATGGGAAATATATTTTCAGTTCGGTTTGGCATTCCAAAATCCGGGACTTCAGCACTTCAGAACTTCGGTGGTTCCGTTCGGCACTTCGGGATTTCAGGTAAGTGTAGGGTTAAGGGTTGGGGTAGGGTTAGTGGTTGAGGTAGAGGTAGGGTTAGGGATAGGGTTGGTTTATGGGTAGGGTTAGAGGTAGGGTTAGGGTTGGTTTAGGGTTAGGGTTAACCCTACCCCAAACCCTAACCCTACTCCTAAACCTAACCCTACTCCAACCACTAACCCTACCACTAAACCCTACCTCAACCACTAACCCTACCCCAACCCTTAACCCTACCCCTAACCCTACCTCTACCTTAACCACTAACCCCTAACACCAACTCTTTAATGTTTTGCCACTTTTTAGAAATCCGAAGCACTTCGGCAATTCGGTTCGGCATTCCGAAATTCCGCACTTCAGCACTTCGGACATTCGGAAGCATGTCTACTCATAACTAAAGTTTCCCATCCCCTCTATATATCATGATATACAGTATATATTACATAATGATTTATTCCATACATTATATGATATGCAGTATATATTAAATGATATTATGTTTCATACACTATATTATGATATACAGTATATATTACATAATGATATATTCCATACATTATATAATGATATACCGTATATATCACTTGATTTTTCATACACTATCTAATGATATCTCATATTTATTACAAGATTATGTATTTAATACACAATATATTCAGGGGCGTATTAGCCGCGAGGCAAACAAGGCATTTGCCTTGGGCGGCATTTTTCAGGGGGCGGCAAAAAAAGCTGCCCCCAAATGCCCAGGGCAAATGTCTTGTTAGCCTTGCGGCTAACAGACATGCCGGGCGGGCGGCGCTGGGCGGGCGGCCGGCGAGGGAGCTCTTCCCCTGAGCGCTCTGCTCAGCTCCCTCGCGCGCCGCCGAGTGAGGCTGGGAGCCGGAATATGACGTCATCTTCCGGCTCCCGGCATCACTCTGCTGGTGGCGCGCGAGGGAGCTGAGCAGAGCGCTCAGGGGAAGAGCTCCCTCGCCGGCCGGCCGCCCGCCCAGCGCCGCCCGCCCTGCAGCCACAGGACCCCAGGGAGAGGAAGAACCCCCCCAGCATTCCCAAAGGTAAGGAGGCTGGGGGGGTTAAATAAAAAACCCCACAAGTGAGTGTGTTAGTGTGTGTGTGTATGTGTCTGTGTGTGTCTGTTAGTGTTAGTGTGTGTGTCTGTTAGTGTGTGTGTATGTTAGTGTGTGTGTCTTAGTGTGTGTATGTTAGTGTGTGTGTCTGTTAGTGTGTGTGTATGTTAGTGTGTGTGTCTTAGTGTGTGTCTTAGTGTGTGTATGTTAGTGTGTGTGTCTGTTAGTGTGTGTGTATGTTAGTGTGTGTGTCTTAGTGTGTGTATGTTAGTGTGTGTGTCTGTTAGTGTGTGTGTGAGTCTGTTAGTGTGTGTCTGTTCGTGTGTGTCTGTTAGTGTGTGTGTGTGTGTCTGTTAGTGTTAGTGTGTGTGTCTGTTAGTGTGTGTGTATGTTAGTGTGTGTGTCTTAGTGTGTGTGTGTATGTTAGTGTGTGTGTATGTGAGTCTGTTAGTGTGTGTGTGTCTGTTAGTGTGTGTGCCTGTCTGTTAGTGTGTGTGTGTGTTTGCCTGTTAGTGTGTGTCTGTTAGTGTGTTTACCTGTTAGTGTGTGTCTGTTAGTGTGTGTGCGTGTCTGTTAGTGAGTGTGTGCGTGTGTCTGTTAGTGAGTGTGTGTTTGCCTGTTAGTGTGTGTGTTTGCCTGTGAGTGTGTGTGTCTGTTAGTGAGTGTGTGTCTGTTAGTGAGTGTGTGTTTCTGTTAGCTAGTGAATGCGTATCTGTCAGTGAATGTGTGTGTGTGTGTGTATTTAGAAGGCGGAGCAGGGGGGAAGGGTTGGGTGGCGGTTGCGCAGGTGGGGATAGCGCGGGGGGTGCCTGAGTTTTGTCCTGCCTAGGGCAGCACAAAATCAGGATACACCACTGAATATATTGATATATAGTATACCCCAGACATATTTGAAAACAAGAGGAATCTCAATGTATCCTTCCTGGTAAAATATTTTATAAATAAATACATTATATATTGCATGATGATAGGTTTCATACACTATATAATGATATACAGTATATATTGCATGATGATATATTACATACACTATATAATGATATACAATATATATTGCACAGTGGCGTCTCTAGGATTCATTTTTAGGGGGGGCATATGGTGGGCCAGGGACAAAAGTAGGGGGTCACATTTAACCCCGCCCTCGCCACAGTTTGACCCCGCCCCTGCCGCATGTTAAGCCCCGCCCCCGACAGAATATGTTTTTTGTTTTTTTAATAATCTCTGGTGGAGAATTAATTATTTTCCACGAGGGATTATTAAAAAACAAACACATTTCCCTTGATACAGTCCACACACACGCACACACACAGACTGCTGAGTTCATACACACACAGACACAAACACAGACTGCTGTGTCCATACACACACACACACAAACTGCTGAGTCCATACACACACAAACACACACACACAGAGACTGTTGAGTCCATACACACACACAGACTGCTGAGTACTTACACACACATACTGCTGAGTCCATACACACACAGAGACTGCTGAGTCCATACAAACACACAGAGACTACTGAGTCCATACAAACACAGACACATAGACTGCTGAATCCATACACACAAACACAGACTGCTGAGTCCATACACACACACAGAGACTGCTGAGCCCAAAAACACACACACACAGACTGCTGAGTCCATACACACACACACACACACAGACTGCTGAATCCATTATTATTATTATTATTATTATTATTATGTTATTTATATAGCGCCATCAAATTCCACAGTGCTTTACATACACACACACACACAGACAGACTTCTGAGTACATACACACACACAGACTGCTGAGTCCATACACTCACAGACAGACTGCTGAGTCCATACACACACACACAGACTGCAGAGTCAATACACACACAAACACACACACACACACAGACTGCTTAGTCCATACACACACACACACACAGAGACTGCTGAGTCCATACACACACACAGACTGCTGAGTCCACACACACACACACACACAGACTGCTAAGTCCACACACACACACACACACACACAGACTGCTGAGTCCATACACACATACAGACTGTTGAGTCCATACACATACACAAGCAGACTAGAGACTCCTCACTAGCAGACAGACAGACACACACACACAGACTGCTGAGTCCATACACACAGACTGCTGAGTCCATACAAACACACAGACTGGTGAGTCCATACACACAGACAGATGATATATTTCACACACACACAAGCTTCCTCACTAGCAGACAGACAGACACACACACACAGACACAAACACAGACTGCTGAGTCCAAACACACACACACACACACAGACTGCTGAGTCCATAGACACACACACACACACAGACTGCTGAGTCCACACACACACACACCCAGACTGCTGAGTCCACACACACACACACCCAGACTGCTGAGTCCATACACACACACACTAGCAGACAGACACACACACACACACACACCTGATATATTACATACACTATATAATGATATACAGTATATATTGCATGACGATATATTACATACACTATATAATGATATACAGTATATATTATATGATGATATGTTTCACTCACTATATAATGATATACAGTATATATTATATGATGATATATTTCACACACTATATAATGATATACAGTATATATAACATGATATGTTTCACTCACTATATAATGATATACGGTATATATTGCATGATGAAATATGTCATACACTATATAATGATATACAGTATATATTACATGATATGTTTCACTCACTTTATAATGATATACAGTATATATTACATGATGATACGTTTCACACACTATATAATGATATACAGTATATATTGCATGATGATATATTACATACATTATATGATATACAATATATATTACATGATGATATACACACTATATAATGATATACAGTATATATTGCATGATGATATATTACATACATTATATAATTATATACATACACTATATTACATGATATACAGTATATATTGCATGATGATATATTACATACATTATATAATGATATACAGTATTGTGATATGTGCATGATATATCTTATACACTGTATAATAATATACAGTATAAATTACAGTGACTACGTTTCACACACATATATGCTTGAATGATATACCTCAGTATATATTACATGATGATGTTTCGACTCACTATATTGAATGATATACAGTATATATTTCACAGTGATGATATATTTCACCTCACTATATAATGATATACAGTATATATTACATGATACGTTTCACACACTATATAATGATATACAGTATATATTTCATGATATATTTCACTCACAACTATATAATGATATACAGTATATATTACATGATGATATATTTCACACACTATATAATGATATACAGTATATATTACATGATGATACGTTTCACACACTATATAATGATATACAGTATATATTGCATGATGATATATTTCACACACTGTGCAATAAAGCTTATTTTGTCAAGCGTGCTTTCGGGTCCGACAGATTACTGTGCAAGGAGAAAGTGAAGTCTGATTTAAGCTTTAGCTTTTACACAGAATTGCCAAGATATATGAGCCAACGGTGACTATCATCCGCTGCCAAGAATTGAATATTTTATGCATTTACTATAGAGCGCAGTGGGATATTCCAGATATAAAATTGTATTCTAAGTAGTTTCTGAGTGTTCTGTGTTAGAGCTTGGTGAAGGGATTCCTAATTGCTTTGTGGTGTGTATCTCCATTTGTGGTACATGTTTCCACAAAGGGTGTGTTTATTAATCAGTGTGTATATAATTTGTGTATATCATTTATATGTATAAGCTATGTATAGTATGTATCTATCTATAATATAGGTGTATACTGTATGAATGTGTGCATGTGTCTGTGTTTCTGTATGTATACATTTTGTGGATCAAGGTGTACAATATTTGGATGTGTATAATTTGGTTTTATGCAAGGTTTGTGTATAAATGATGTTAATTATGTATATGTGTGTTATATGCGTGTGTTGGGAATGTGTATATGTTAGTAGGTGTGTGAGTGAATGTTGTGCATATAATGTATCTGTCATGTATGTTTTATGTATCTGTGTGTATGCACCATGGATCTATGTGTTTGTGTCATGTATCTGTGCATTTGTCACATATTTGAGTATTTTTTTCATGTATGTATTAAGTACGTGTGTAACTGTCACATATTTTGGTGTATGTGTCATGTATATGTGTGTATTTGTCATGTT